TTTAACAACGATGCCAAAAGTTATATGTACAAAAAAGGGCTAGCCCCTTTAAGAAAGGTATGATCTCATTTTACCAATTTCTTTAAAATCTAAAATACCTTCAAAGGAAATTATTAGTTTTTAATAGTGGATTTATTTCCAGAAAGCTAGAACATAGTGAGACTGCATCTCACAAAAACTAGAGAGCTCTACATATTCATCAGAAAAGCACAAAAATTTAATATATGAGTTAAACACAAGAATTGGTATTTTATAAAAAAAAAAGGATACTCTGTGTAACTTATCACTCCTTTTTTACAGATAACAGTTTTGTATTAAAGAAATGTTTTTCTGGCCGGGCGTGGTGGTGCATGCCTTTAATCCCAGCACTCAGGAGGCAGAGGCAGGCGAATCTCCATAGTAAATCCAGGACAGCTGGGGCTACAGGGAAATCCTGTCTCAAAAAGACCAAAAAAAAAAAAGAAAGAAAGAAATGTTTTTCTATCCTAAAGATCTAAAACTTAAACCTAGTGTTGGTGATATATGCATGCAACATCAGCACTCAGTAGGGTAGAAACGGGAGGATCACTGCAAGTTCAAGGCCAGTCTGGTCTACATAATAAGTTCACAGACACCCACAGATACATAATGAGACTCTATCTCAAAAAAAATGAGGGGAAAAAAATCTAAAAATTATTCACCAATATTTACTACTAACAGTTTTTATTTTATTTTTCTATAATATGAAGTTCCACTGACACTTGTTTTTCATTTTGGGGGGGTAGGGAATCCAAATAGGGTATCACTGTAGCCCCAGCTGGCCAGGAACTTGATTTTTGATATTTCTTTTAAAGTCAAGAATATTTAAAACCAACTTTTAATTGTTTTCCCTAAATAAAAATATTCTGATTTTATAGGACATCCGACCTGGGGTCTTCCTAGTGGGCTGTAATCAACCTCTTACTATAAATAATAGAAAACTGAACACTAAACAGGAAACAACTCTTTTCCAGACATTGAACAACAGGCAGCTATGAACTGTGCTCCCTAAGGAAAGGGAAACAAGTGAGAAGAGCCCTACATATCCTTTGCTTTCTGCCTGGGAGTTAACTCAAACCAAGTTTAGCAACTTTACTGAGAGAGGCCAAAGTAGCTAGATTTGTGGGGTAAGCACACAAGAGGGAGCTAAAAACAGGCAGGGCTCCAGAAATCCCCACTAGGTCACCTTGACTTTTGACTGACTAGCAATCAAAGGAAAGAACTACCACCAGGGGGAGCTATAAAGGAACAACTCAGCTTCCTTCCTGCCAAAGAGACTTCTGGGAATCTACACAGAATTTCAAGAACTCATTAGGCCTTGCTTTAGGAAAGAGGCTAAATTAGTTCTAGTGTAAAAGCTGCTCTAGCAGGGAACATACCTCATACTATAGCATTTGCCTTGAATACTCAAGGCCTTTGGTTTGATCCCCAACATCTAAATTTTGTAGTTTACTATGTTTTATTTATTTTTATTCTATGTGTGTGTGTTTGCCTACATGCATGTAAGTGCACCTGTGTTGTGCAGTGCCTGTGAGGGCCACAAGAGGGCATCAGATTGCCTGGAACTGGACTTCTAGACGGTTGCCATGTAGGCCACTGAGCCATCCCATCCCTCCAGCCCTTTGTTTTTGGTTTTTTTGGTCTTTTTGAGACAGGGTCTCCCTGTAGCCCCAGCTGGTCTGGAACTCACTATGTAGACTAGAACTCACAAGAGAGCCACCTGCCTCTGCCTCTCAAGTACTGGGATTAAAGGTGTGTGCCACCATATCCAGCTCCTTTATGTTTTTAAAAAGTTATTCTGGGGGGCTGGAGAGATGGCTCAGTGGTTAAGAGCACTGACTACTCTTGCAGAGGACCTGGGTTTGATTCCCAGCACCCACATGGCGGCTATGAACCATCCTTAACTTCAGTTCCAGGGGAATCCGAAGCCCTCTTCTGACCTCCATGGCATTGCATAACATGGGTGCACTCACATATATGCAAGCAATACACTCATACACATAAAATAAAAATAATAAAATATTAAAAAAAAAAAGTTATTCTGAGCCGGGCGTGGTGGCGCACACCTTTGATCCCAGCACTCAGGAGGCAGAGGCAGGCAGATCTCTGTGAGTTCAAGGCCAGCCTGGTCTACATAGTGAGTTCCAGGACAGCTGGGGCTACAGGGAGACCCTGTCTCAAAACGACTAAAAAAAAAAAAAAGTTATTCTGAATTAGCCTAAACACAAACCTCACAATGAACAACATAATCTGCAAATAACTGAATGACAAAATAGAAGAATCTACTTTTAAAAGGACTCTAACAAGATTTATCCAACATCATTAAATTCGGTGTCCAATTAAAAAAAAAAAAACACACACACAAAAAAACCTGACATATCAAAAAATATGAAAATTTAGTACAGGACCAGAATAAAGACCAAACAGTAGAAACAGGCTCAGAAATGACAGAAACAAGAATTAGTTGGGCTGAACAGGCTTTACAGGCTGCTAGCTGCCACTTAGGATTTAGGAAGCTACCCAGAACATTTCCATCACTGAAGGCAAGAGTGTATAGGGAGAGACCAGAGTAAAGTTTGGAAAAATAGCGTATGAAAGAAACCAGTCGGCAGAAAGAGGCTGGAAACACCCAGGCTGAGAACTAGGCCAGCAGCACAGGTGCAAAGACACCAAGAAGTGTCTGAAGGTGAGACTCATCATAATACAGCACACCCTTGTGTGGAGTTTAAGATGGTAATGAGACATGTGACACATAGTTATATGTAGAACTACAAATAGCAGAACACACTCCAGAAAGCCCGCAAGATACCAATGAGCCAGAAAGCCCCATCCTTTGTGCACAAGCACCGGTGAAGTTCTTCAACTCTCTGCTCCAGCTTGCATCCTCTTCTTCTGAAGTAAACCATCTCTAAACAAACTGTCTCTGCTGCTACTATCCATATGTCTCTGTCCAGTTCTTTGTTCCAGAACACAAGAACCTGAAACCGCTCAGGGGGTGCCCACCAAACCCTACTACCACACTTGCACAAGACATCCCACTTACTTACAAGCCATTTCCATGGGACTCTTCTGTGCTCACAATAAAAACCAGGACATTGTAGGAGACTAAAAATAGTGTTACCTGCCGGGCGTGGTGGCACATGCTTTTAATCCCAACACTTGGGAGGCAGAGGCAGACAGATCTCTGTGAGTTCAAGGCCAGCCTGGTCTACATAGTGAGTTCCAGGACAGCTGGGGCTACAGGGAGACCCTATCTCAAAAAAATGACCAAAAAAAGACAGTGTCACCTAATGGCCCAAGCACACAGGAGGTAATTTAGTTATGGTTATGAGTCAGACACAATGTCCACTCACTACTCAGATCTTCTCTTCTACTAAGAAAAGACTTAAGCTGTTGGAAGACAAACAGGAAGTCCACGCTCTCACACAGAGGGCACAGTGTAGACCCACCACTGCCGCAGAAGGAGTAAAAGCAAAATAGCCTGTATCCCTGGAGATTGAGGGAAAACCATTTTAGGCTCAGGCTCCTACAGTGATACTGATAACAAGAGGCCTGCTACAGTGGAAACAAGGCAGTCAGTCTGACTACAAGAAGGAGAAGGGGCAAAGGAACTATGAAACAGGGGCAAAGCCTCCACCTAAGACAAAGACTGACCAATCTCTACCTCTACCACAAATCTAGCCCAAGTAAAAGGCGAGAACAGTCTACCAATGGCAGAGGCAAGAACAGGAAAGAGGGGCCAGGGAAGTGGGTAAAGGTGCTTGCCACCAAGTCCAACAGCCTTTTCGATCCTTGCAACCCACATAGTGGAAGAGGAGAAATCAACTCTCTCAAGATGTCCTCTGACCTTCACATATTCGCACACAAAATAAAAAAATAAATATAACCAAAAGAAAATATGTCTGTGGTGCAGATGTATAGGGGGAGTTGAAGCTTTGGAAAGGAAGGGACACTGAGAGTCTCCCGAGGGCCTCCAGAACCCCAGTCCCCACTTTAAACCCTATAACATTTACTTATTTATGTATGCGTGCATGCCGGGCACATGTGTAGAGGTCAGAGGGCAACAAGCAGAACTCGTTCTCTCCCTCTACCAGATGGGCTCCAGGGATTGGACTCAGACTGTCAGGCTTGGCAGCAGGCCCATCTTTACCTGACTCATCTCTCTAGCCCCTGGAGTGGTATTTTTAAAGCACTAAAAGAAAAGGAAAAACATCTTTCCCTGGTTTCAGTCTCTTTAAAAGTAACTGAGTTTAGGCTGGCAAAATGGTTCACTTACTGCACAAGTCTGACAACTTAAGTTGAATCCTCAGAACCCAGGGTAAAGGTGAGAATCAACTCTCAAACTTGGTCTTCTGACCTCTACATGCCACTGTAGCGCTCTCTCTCTCTCTCTCTCTCTCTCTCTCTCTCTCTCTCTCTCCATACACATGCAAAA